ATATATATATATATGTGTGTGTGTATATATATATATATATATATATATATATATATACACAAAGTATATGTGTGTGTGTGTGTGTGGTGGGATAGGTGAAGCACCCACATGTGCCTCTACCCTCATTTGCCCCAATATGTGGTCCTTGTGGAAAACACTTAACCCCACTATCTGCTCCCCCAGACACAGCAGCTCTCTGCTCCACACAGAGGGCTGTGGTAGTTCAATGGTCTGTGGTTGTGTCAGGAAGGACATCCAGCATAAAAATTAATTGCCAAGTCTTCGTACGACTTAGTTTGCTGTGGCAACCCCTGAAGAAGGGAGCAGCTGAAAGAAAAAAAAAATAAAATAAATTTTTAAATATGTCAGTGGCCCTCCTGGATTTTGACATGGCACTCCAGAATTGTGGAAGCTAGACTTAGATGAGTGGTGACTATTTGTGAGCATCAGTATGGTTTTATGCTAAGCAAGAGCACCACGAATGCCGTCTTTGCTTTGAACATGCTGATGGAGAAGTACAGAGAGGGTCAGAAAGAATGACAAAACATCGACAAAATTAGTTATCTGCATTTAACCCATCACACCTGAGATACACGCAGGTGGAGCAGTGGGTAGTTATGTAAGTGCCCGGGGAGCAATTAGGGATTAGGTGTCTTGTTCAAGGACACATGACATGTGGGCAATGCAGGCAGTCGAACCATTACTTTCTGGTCCCAAGTTGGCTGCCCTACCTCTATCCCATCTCGGCCCCTAGAAAAAGGTGGAGGTGGGAGTGCATCAAGGATCAGATGAGCCCCTTCTTGTTTGCTCTGGTGATGGACAGACTAGCAGATGAGGTCAGGCAAGAATCCCAGTGGACTATCATGTTTGCAGATGACATTGTGATCTGTGGTGAGAGCAGGGAACAGGTGGAATAGAAATTGGAGAGGTGGAGGTATGCACTTGAAAAAAGAGGAATGAAAGTCAGCCGTAGTAAGACAGAGTACATGTGTGTGAATGAGAGGGAGACTGGTGGAACAGTGAGGCTACAAGGAGCAGGGGTCACAAAGGTGCAGGACTTCAAGTACTTTGGGGTCCACTGTCCAAGAAAATTGAGAGGGTATAAGGAGGCAAAAAAGAAAGTCCAGACAGGATGGAGTGGATGGAGAAAAGTTTCAGGAGTGATTTGTGACAAAAGGGTGTCAGCAAAGATCAAAGGAAAAGTTTCAAGACAGTGGTGAGACCAGCTATATTGTATAGTCTGGAGACAATGGCATTAACAAAAATGCAGGACTGGAAGTGGCAGAAATGAAGATGTTGAGTTTCTCCTTAGAAGTGACAAGGATGGATAAGATTAGGAATGAGATCATCAGAGGTACAGCACAGGTTGAAGAACTGGGAGATAAACTTAGAGAGACCAGACTGAGATGGTTTGGGCATGTCAAGAGGAGAGTCAGTGGGTATACTGGTAGAAGGATGTTAGAAATGCAGCTGCCAGGAAAAAGACTAAGAGTTTGTTATTTTCTCTTGCAGTGAAGAGGACTCTCAGCTACTACTACATCCTGCTGGATGTCTGACAAACCGACTGACTGTTGTTCACTAGCATCAGTTATCTGTGTGTTATCTTGAATCGGGTCGACTCAAGAGGTTAATTAGTTACAGGTGAATGTGCATTAATTACTTCCTGAGAGTTTCATTAAAATGCATTTTGTGTGACCATTCAATGTTTAGAACATTGTGTTTACAAACAAATAATTGTTTTGTTATTGAAGTCAGCTGATAGTGTCAGCCATCTTGAACTGGGTTGACTGTCAGGGTAATCAGCTGTAGACAAACATTCAATGATTCCTTTCTGTGGGTTGTGTTAAATTTTGTGCAGTAGCTCATGAAATATTTTGCTAATAGAGCTCTTAACACTCATTCACATACACAGACACAAGCAAAAATGTTGTCTGCTTTTGTGTTTCTATGGCAGACAATGAAACATGCAACACATACAACTGACACAAATTTAAGAGCTGTCGCTTCAGCATAGAAACAAAAAAAATCTCCTCTAAAGTACAGAAGTATCTGTTTCTGAGTCTTAGTTGGAACTTTCCATCTTTAGCTTTCAGTTTGAAAAAAACAAATAGATGCATTTTGAGGAGAATTACCCACAAACCACCATGAAATTATTGCATTACTTTATGTATTGCTTTGTTGGGATGTAATCATTCCAAGAATCAGGTTTTGAGCTCTTCCTGCTTAAAATGCCCTCATCAGACCTGAGGTGGCCTTTAGGAGTGAGGAATAAAAACCCACCAGATCCAAATGGGTCACACTCCTCTGCAGGGACCAGAGAGCCGAAGGTGTCATGTGCAGATTTCAATTCAATTCAGTTTGTTTATTTAGTGCCAAGTCACAACAGAAGTCATCTCAGGGCACTGAACAGAAACATGCATATA